TTAATTTCTTAAGAAATTGTAGGCTATTATATAGATTAATATCATGAATTAGTTCGTTCATTTTGGTTGTTTGGTTGGGTGGTTTAGCGGCATACGTATATATATATATATATATATATATATATATATATTGTTTGAATAAAAGAAAGACCACGTTGAGATTCCATGTAATAAGCTATTTCACCATAACCCCTTTAACAGGGTTCTGGATCATCAGACTTTACTTCCAAAAGCTGAAATGAAAAATGAAAAAGAAATTCACACGTTTTTTACGGACCTCATCAAGTATACGTAAAGTTAACGAAGTGAGGAAATGAGGTGGGAGAGAGGATATGAGTGTGTCATATGTATCATTTTAGTTTCCTATTTTAACCCCAGTGTGTCGGCTGGATGTTGATCAAATTTAACGCGTCTCGTCTCTAGATAAAGGTGGCTAAGGGGTGAACGATAAGAACTACATTAAAGGGAGACGTTACAACAACCCCAATAAATTACACGACAGATATATACGACAGTGGGTAGATATATGTAAGTGCAAATTAACGCATATGGGGGTATGTAGATATTCTGCATATTGCGTATGCATATGCATATGTGTGTGTATGTATATGTATGTATGTATGCATATATGGGTGTGTGTATGTATGTGTATACGTATGGATGTGTAAATATATATATATGTGCGTATGAGTATATATGGATATGCAGATGTCCTTGTGTGTATATGTATATATGTAAGTATAAGTATATATGGAGATAGGTATGGAGACATGTGAATGTGCGTTTTCTCTGCAGGTGTATATGTGTAAAGATGGAAATATACATATATCGTTTCGTGTGAATGTGTGTGTAGGTGTATATAGGAACTTATAGGCATATAAGAAGATATAGGTATGTCGTTATAAATAGGGGTTTAAGACATGTGTAGATAAGAAATTGTAAAAGAAGGGCCTAATTTTCTGCTAGTGACATCTCTTCCAAATTTCTCCTCTAATATTCTCCAATTGGAAGTGAATTTTAAATAGCACGAAGGGAAAATTTAGATTGGTATTTTAATTGAGATTGAAAGATACTACCCCAGTGTGGAGAAAAAATTTTTTTAAATGGGAATAACTGTTGATAATTGGGTACATAAAAACAACCACGAGGTTACATAATGAACAAAAATCTAAAACAATCAAGAGTTTACTTAATGAACAAAAATCAAACGAATAAATGTCAACCTAACAAGCTATAAGATAAAAGTTTTAGTGGAAAAAAAAGGGAAAAAAGAAAAGGAAAAAGGGAAAAAATTACTAAATAAAAATTGGATTGCTCTTTCAATGTTCTGTCTATGGATTTTTCCAATCGACTGTTTCATAGAAAATACCCAAAACTCCACCGAATTTCAAATTAATTCCTTCGTAGATTGTTTTAAAATTTAGATATTTATCAAACCTTAACCTCCCAAATATGCACGTTCAAGTAACGCGAACTGACAGCGTCTAAGAATTTGAATGAAACCTGTCGTATAATTTATTTGGGTTGTTGTAACGTCTTCCTTTAATGTAGTTCTTATCGTTCACCACTTAGCCACTTTTATCTAGAGACGAGACGCGTTAAATTTGAGCAACATCCAGCCGACACACTGGGGTTAAAATAGGAAACTAAAATGATACATATGACACACTCATATCCTCTCTCCCACCTCACTTCGTTAACTTTACGTATACTTGATGAGGTCCGTAAAAAACGTGTGAATTTCTTTTCATTTTTCATTTCAGCTTTTGGAAGTAAAGTCTGATGATCCAGAACCCTGTTAAAGGGGTTATGGTGAAATAGCTTATTACATGGAATCTTAACGTGGTCTGTCTTTTATTCAAACATATCTGCTCTGAATTTTACATTGAGCTCTCTGGATATCATCCTCCTCGGGTCTACCCATACGGATTACCTAAGTTTGCATAAATATATATATATATATATATATATATATATATATATATATATATATAGTTTATTTAATGCCGAAGTCTAAATATTTTGAACACAACTTTATGGATTCCGCTAAATATATTTTGAACGCAAATGCACGCCTTCAAGTAAAAATAAAAAGTATTGTTGATCATTTTGCTATAAAATGTATTGCTGACGATTTTGTTGTAAAATGCATTGTTGGCCATTTTGTTGTAAAATATATTGCTGATCATTTTGTTGTAAAATGTATTGTTGGCCATTTTGTTGTAAAATGTATTGTTGGCCATTTTACTATGAAAAGTATTGCTGTATTTTTACAATAATTGTGTATTTTTTTAATTGTATTTTTAGTGTTTTTTATTGTTTGGGGTTTCACTATTTGTTCATAGTTGAGACCCTAATAAATGCTGCACCCCGGGTCACAGTGGACCTGGGAACAACAGCAATTAAGATGTGGTTCCAAAAACCCCAATCTCAAGATCAGAGGCCTTGCTGTCGGATGTACTTTATCATTATACACAGGAATTTTATGCGTATGCATGAACATGAGAGGGAGTCCATATATTTTAGGATAAAATAAAAAATCAGAAATAGCGGAACACGTATCGATGAGAAATAGTGGAATCGGTATGCCGAATTCAAATTCCGACTGAATTTGGGTTCATTCAATTAGGCAGTATCACATTTTATAATGTATACGTTAATACAACTTTGGGAACTAAAGAGTGGACATGGCTCGCTTGTATTTGAAAGCAACCGATATGGAAGACCAGTTCTAATTGAAATCTAGGCTGAAAATTGAAAGGCTTCTCCAAGATATTTTACCCTGCATACATTCCGAGCGTCTAAGAGACTGCAATATATGGTGCACCAACGAAACAAAATGATTGTGAATAGTTTGTTTTTTTTTAATTTCTATTTTTAAATATCAGTTTTTAAAAGATTTTGAAATTAAGTCTTGGATTTTTACAACTATTCTTTCTCTGTTTCTTTTTTTTATCATTTTAATCAAAAAATGATTTTTGCCTACCCGCATTTCGATCGATATAGATAATACGTGTCGAAATGTCTTAACTACGCTCGAAAAAAAAAGTACTGTTCAGGGTGGGATTTCTGCTTTTAATTGGGAGTGCTTCTCTCGGTAAAAAATATGTCTGAAGATATAATTTCTATTAAAATGCAGTAGATTCACTCTTGGTAGCATTTTCATCGAGATTAGCCATGGTCTCCTTGTTGTGTTTGGAAATTAAACAAAAATCTCCACCAATAATGAAAAATGCTACTACACTCACAAACACAGTAACAAAAATATACCAGCCAATTTCGCAATTAAGAACATAAAAAAGTAAACGGGACAATACAAATTACGGAATATCTCACGATACTTTTAGTCTTAAATATGAAAGAGTGCACCAGAAAAATAGAATACAAACATGAAAATAAATTTATTGTCTGTCATATACAAGTAATCACACACACACACACACACACACATATATATATATATATATAGATGAACTTGTGTATGTATATATATAAACATGTATATATATATATATATATATATATGTAATATATATATACATATATATATGTATATAAACGTTAATATATATACATATATATATATATATATATTTCTTTTTTATTTTTAATGGATGTCATTAATTGGAACCTCGGGCAGGTTCGAACCTGTCTCCTCCATCGCAGGTAGATCAATTTTTGATGCCAAGTGCTTTAGACCACTTGACACTTTCTCTCTCCTGTCTGTATCCGTGTGTATGTGCGTACATTTATGTATATGTATGTGTATATATATATATATATATATATATATATATATATATATATATATATATATATATATATATATATATATATATATATATATATATATATATATATATATATATATATATATATATATATATATATGAAAGAAAAAATACAGAAAAAACAAAATTTGAATATGCATTATTAATGTTAAAATAAAGTCGACGTCGGACGTCATGGACATTTTCATTTAAACATAATTAACATTATAACTTATAACAATTTAACACAAAAGACGATGGACATAAGAGCCCAACTAATTCAAACAGATAACAGATATATATATATATATATATATATATATATATATATATATATATATATATATATATATATATATATATATATATATATATATGCTTAAATATACTTAATATAGGGCACAAAATGTTTATACATCTCGCATACTGTATGATTCAAAGGATTTCTTTTAGCCTAATTGTCATTATAATCAATATTTTCAGTTTCTAACTCATCCTGAATACCTAATGTAAGTCTCAGTTTCTATGTCTATATCTCTGATGAAATACCTTTTCTTATAGTTACTTGTAGAAACTGTTTCTTTATTTTCCCTGTAAGTAAAGGTTAAACACTGATGATGGAAATCTATATTTTAATCTCATGTCACTATTTGACTTGGATACAATCAATCGAGAGATCACTGCCTTCATTATCGTTCTTGTGGGAAAATGGGGGTATTTTTCTGGAATTATGATGAGGCGCAGAAATAAAATGGATGACGAAGAAGGAAGGAAGAAAAAAAAAACTAATATAATAAATCCATTAGTCTAGAGTGCACATAACTGATGGCATGAAGACAACGGTAATTATTAAGAGGTTGAAGGAATAAAAAAGGAAAGGAACAAATGAAAAATTTAATACAGAGAAGAAAGAAAGGGAAAGGGAAAAAATATTGAAAGAAAGAATGAAGGAAAATAAGAAGATACATTAATACAAGGAATTAAGAAAGAAAAAAACAAATGAAAGAAGTTAAAATTGAAATGAATACAGAAAGAAATTTTAATACAGAAAGAATAAAGAAAATTGAAAAAAAAATAAAAGAAAAAGAAGGAAAATTATAAATAAAAGGAAGAAACAGAACAGAGAAAATTAAAAACTGAAAGAAAGAAAAAAAGAAAGAAACACATACAGGAAAAAAGGAATCTATAATAATGATAAACAAGATAAAAGGAAATAAAGGAAAATAAAACTGAAAGAAAAAAGAAAGAAAGAAAGAAAGAAAGAAAGAAAGGAAGAAGGAAGGAAGGAAGGAAGGAAGGAAGGAACGAACGAACGAACGAACGAAGGCAGGAAAGAAAGAAAGAACGAAAGAAAGAGAGAAAAAAAGAAAGAAGGAAGGAGGGAAGCAAGGAAAGAAAGGAAGAAAGAAATATAGAAATAAAGTAAAATAAAATAAAAAAAATGCAGAGAAGTTGGGAAGAAAAAAAAAGAAATAAATTAGAATTGAAAGAAAAAACTAAAATAAAGATAAATTCCAATACGGATTTAAAAAACGGAAAGGAAAGAAATTAAAACTGAAAGAATCAAGAAAAATTAAATGGGAAAATAATGAAATCAATTAAAAAAGAAGAATAAAGAAAGAAATGAATGAAATCGATAAAAAAAGAAGAAATAAAAATAAAAGAAATCAATTAAAAAAGAAAAAGAAATGAATGAAATCGATAAAAAAGAAGAAATTTTTATTTCTTCTTTTTTATCGATTTCATTCATTTCTTTTTCTTTTTTAATGAAAGAAATCAATTAAAAAAGAAGGATAAATAAAAAAATGAATGAAATTAAGATAAGGGGAAAGAATGAAAGAAAAATTTTTACACTGAGAAAGAAGAAAAAGAAATTAAATAAATAAACAAGCTCAGAAATTTTTATAAAATCTAAAAAAGTTAGACCAACTGAAAAGGAGAAATATATAAATTATAAAGATAAAAAAAAGGAAAATATAGAAAGAATTATTTAAAAGTCATTAAAATTGCATTATAAAAATATATAGACAATCAAAGACGATTTTTTAACTGAAAATTTGCTAACGAAATGTTCCCTTAGTTAGAAAAACAAGCATTGTACTGAAAGAAATTAATAACAATAAAAATCATCAAAATAAGATCGTGAGTACGAAAATAATATAAAAAATGTAAGAGAAATGAATCGAAAACTAATGAAGGGAATAGAAAAGAAAAGAAATGAAAACGGAGAGAGAAAGGCAGAAAAGAACGACGTGAAGATACACAAAAAAAGAAGACAACATCGATAAAGAATAATTACTGTGAAAATGATGGCGATGATGATCATGATGATCATAATGATCATGATCATCATTATCATTATAATAATGATAATGATTTCAGAAAAAAATATCACGTGAATAAACCAGAGACAAAAAAGATAATGTACTGTGAAATGCTAGGGCAGACGATATCGAGGCACGTCCATTAAAACACAAGCAATTTCTTCAAAGTAGAACATGGTTTTGGCGGTAAACACTTAACAAGTCTCAGCTAAAAACCTTTTTCGAATTCTTTGCTACCGGAAGTTTCCGATCGTCACCAATTTTAAGGTCGATTTAAAAAATAAAATAACAATTTCAGAATTGCTATATTTTTTTTCATCTGTTCTCTTGTCACTCAAAATGGTCCGTTTTATTTTAATTTTTTTTTTTTAAATCCGGTAGGAACTGAAACATGCAGACGAGCGGACAGGCAATCATGAAGAGTAGGTTATTTTATTTATGTAAAGTATATGGAAGCCTGTCTGTAAGTAATTTGAATATGTATTTTAGCTTCTTAGAACTTGTACATTTGGCGTGTTTTCTCATATATATATATATCTGCGTGTTTAAGCAGAGAAACAGCAATACATATAAAAGTAAATACTTTAGTATATGTAATTCTCTTGGGTATTTAAAATGTTTTTATTTTCATCTTTTTAACTTTTATATTTATTTTCATCTTCACCAACAGTTTCCATGAAAATCATTCTTACTCTTCCGTATTCACAACTCCTGTTAATATAGATAAAAATACTACTACCGCTACTATTACTAATACTATGTGCATTCTTTCACCAAGTCTATTTAGTCATCCAAGCTGATTATCAAGTGATAGCAAGACATCAAATTCCCATTCCTTTTCTCAAATTCTGTATTTACCGATTAATAACATTTAAGGTTTTCAATGGGTCAGCCCTAGTGGCCAAAAGATTATAAGCACTACTTCCATGTTTATCTATCACAGTTTTTGCCATTTTCAATGTCCCCAATTTCATCTATCTTTCACTGCGAGAATAACATCGACAATTCTGTATATTTATTTTCTGTGTTCATTTTATTCAAATCAGGCCTACAAATTTGGATTGGAAGAGCTGTCTGAATGTTAAAGTTCCAAAATATTTTGATTTTTATATTCTAAATGATATTTCCGTGCTTAATTCCTATAGCCGAACGCAATTCGATTGCACAGTTTTCACTGATTAACTGTCCCCACTCATGTATGCACACCTTTTTTTCTTTTAATTTCTTCTTGGTAAATTCTACGCATTTAAAACAATTTAAACAATTCTTTTTTTTTTTTTTTGAATGTTTGCATAAGTACTTTTGTTGCTATTTTCTAAACTTTTTGCAACCATTTATGAACTTTCTTTCATTCTTATTATTTTTGTCCACCATCGAGATATTTATTTCTTTGCTTTTACATTTTGATATTTTTTTTTTTTTTTTTTGTGAAAATCATATTTTTTCCTTGCTTCATATTGCAAACTTGCTGTCATTATCTAACTGTTTATTTTCATTCCGTATAAATCGATCGTCTTTTTTTAGTTATGAGTTAATACTATCATCGGTTGAACACATCTTTATTATCCTTCTTTTCTCTTTACATGATACCTGTCTACACCATTTCATTATTCGTACATAATCATTGATTTTCTTGTTTACTGATTCTTTGAAAGGAAAAAAAAAGATTTTTGTAATGAATAAATTAACGAGTACGTGATAAAAACCTATATTTTTAAAATATCACATTCATTCAGATCATCGATGATAATGGCTCTCCAGGGTTCCCTCTATTTTATTATCTGTGAATTGACATGGCCTCATAGGAAAGTTATCCGGGTAGATTCGCGTTGTTTTGAATTATTTTTTATTGAGAGTAATCTTTCTTCTCGACTGGTTGTTGCTCATGGCAAGGCTACCCTGCTATTTTCCCTTTAGATGAAGCAAGAAGAGATCGATTCCGGCCTTTCCCAAGCGTATTCTTATAAAAGTGGATGCGAAGGGTGAAGCTGAAATTTATACATTCACTTCACTTTCCGCTCAGATAACTGTCTGTCTACTCGAACATCTAAAGACAACTTTAATAAACAGGAAAAAACGTTTGTTATTAGAGAGGACAGAGAGCATTAAGATTATGAAACTGACAAGAACGATAAGGGGGAATGGAAATAAATAGATTATTAGTTAAACAATATGGATAAGAACAATGATCTATGCAGCCCTTAATGGTGACGATAATTATTTTAAAGATTTTAATGATAATGAAAAGAATCCCATTGTTTTGTTGTTGTTTTCACAAAATTTACGACCTCTATTAGGTGTATATCGTTTTGGGTAACCTGCAGGTAATTTCGAAATGAACACCTTATTTAAATTGTAGCGGTACACTGTTCTTGTTTAGGGATATTACGTCTAGTTCTTATTTAAAACACATTATTGCCTGGCAGTGTCAAAGCTCGATAGTTGACCGCTGTAATGAGTTGGATTTGCCGAGGTGAGAGCATTGGCAACAAATGAGGCTTGTAGCTGGTTGGTGGGGATATTGAGATGAAATTCTGCTGTATTAGTCAAGCCTGGGAGGAGTAACATCTTTTATCTTTTTCTTAAAAGTTGCATATACGTATGATATATTTAAATTCATTTTGTAATCTCAGAAGCTTGAATTTAAAGATAAAATTATTTTTTTTATATTTATTTTTTTCTACCTCCTATCTTTGTGGTTTCTGTGAGTATCAGCGATGTCGAGGGACCTCGAGAAATGCAATGTTTTTATTAAAATATTACGGTACCAAATCCGTTCCAAATAAAATTCTAAACATTATTTTTAATTCAAATTAACTCCATGAGGTTTCGAGTTAATAGTGTAAAAAGAAAAAAATATCGACAATTCAAATTCGATGAGTCACAAAGTTGGATACTAATATCAAAAAACTGAATTTAAAAAAAAATAAAATCAACATTCTATATTTACTTATTTTCATTCTCTTTATGTGTGGTGGTTTAGGTGACGTGAGGGACCTAAATGAGGATGAAAGTTCAAAGTGTTATACATTAAGAAAATAATGAATGGAAGACAGATAAAATTCCAAGCATAATGAAAAGACAGCAGACAATGCCAGGTTATGGTACAGAATATAGAACGTTACACAAATAAACTAGAAACAAATGCAGGTAGGCAATAGAGAACTGGCTCAACGAATAGCGGAAAGTAAGAGAAAGAAGGAACAACATACATAATGCATATATACATATATAAAAGAAATTACAGGACAAAAGACGTTCTCATCAACAGGATGCATAAAATCAAAATAGGGGATATTGATAACAGAGAAAGACAAAATAGTTAAAAAAATGGAACGAATACATCGGAGAACGACTCCATGGCGAAATATGCAAATCCACAAAAATATGGACGGACCAGAAATATTCAAGTCTGAAGTGATATTAGCACTGGCCAAATTGAACAGAAATAATATTTGTAATAGAGATGCTAGAAGCTTTACATGATTTCGCCATTGAAAAAAATTAGATATAATAAACAAAATATACAACATTGGTGATATACCAGAAGACATAAGTAGATCCATTTTCATAGTACTACCTAAGAAGCCAGGTGTAAATGAATGCTAACACCACCAGACAAACAGTATGGTGAGCCACATAACAAAGTGGCATCCAAATACTGATGAATAGACCGCGTAGCAGAATTAAACCAGAAATAAGGCGAAAATAGTGCGGTCTCGTTACAGACTCTGGAACAAAGAATGAGAACAGAGAGAGCAATATATTTGATATAGTATACAAAAGCATTTGCTAATGTACGTCAAAAAGAACTGTTTGAACTGATAGGTAAGCTTCATTTATTTGGGAAAACTATACTGGGTGAAAAGAAGCTCGATACGCATATACATGAAAACAAAGGGGCGTAACACCATGATGTGTCATTTTTATTGTTATTATTATTAAACTGTTAAAGTGATTCGACCCTGAGATTGGTTAATCTGTTTGTTTAACGGCATATCAACATTTTATGGGTCACTTAATGCCGAAATGTAATTGAAATTTTTCGAACACAATTTTGTCTTCAACTAAATATATTCTGAACGCAGATAACTACAGATAAAATTTATTGTAAGTCGTTTTGCTTTAAAATTGTACTCTTTGAATTTTTCATATAAATATCTATTGCTGTT